CATGAAAGCTGTGGAAAGACACAATAATGGAAGTCACTAAAAAGAAATTGCTGTCAAATTAGGATTAGGTGAGCCAAATGTATATACATGAAATAGAAGAATGGGAAACATTTAAAAAAGATTTTACACTTATATTACTTACAACTAAATTTAAGTTGTTTTCTAGGTTTAAAGAAGTATATACAGAGAACTACAGATTTTAAAAATTTTGTATATGTTTATCGATAAAAAGGCACTAAACTATAATCAATCAGCAGATCTATACATGAGCTCTCTAAGCCTTAGTCAGATATCACAAGGTTGGTAAAAGAATGACTCTATTTATCTATTGATTCATCAATCTGTTGCCTATCATCTGTTTTTATGTCATCATATTTCTATCTATATTTTTTAATTGCCCATTTTAACCAACATTTTCAAGTAAGTCACAAATCTCAGTGATATAATGTATGGAGGTTTCCTCTCCAGAGGTTGTAGCAGGTTGCATGGACAGTCTCCTGCCCCTTTAGAGGTTTTTGCATGTGTATATTCTGATTCAGTCTGTGCTGATTATAAAACTTAATATCTATTGAAGATAATTTAATTTTTCCTGAAGTTTTCAGGAGAGAGAGAGAGCCCCTTAACATACAGGTGGTCAAACTAGGTAGGTGTGTATTTGTTTGTTTTTATTAGTTTGCTTTTGTTTTTTCCCTTCTGACTGAGTTACGGGCATTTACTCATAGCATTAAGTTTTAGAAAAATGTGATTATGGGGGGAATTGAATGGCATTTCATCAAATATAGGCTCTTTAAGATTTATTTTAGTTCCCAAATTTTGTACATTTAGGTTACTGATGTGGTTTGGTTCTGTGTACCCACCCAAATCTCATCAGGTAGCTCCCATAATTTCCATGTGTTGTGGAAGGGACACAGTGAGAGATGATTGAATCATGAGAGTGAATCTTTCCCATGTTGTTCTCGTGACAGTGAATGGGTCTCATGACATCGTGGTCTTAAAAATGAGAGTTTCCCTGCACAAGCTTTCTCTTTGCCTGCTGCCATTCACGTAACATGTGACTTGTTCCTTTTTGCCTTCCACCATGATTATGAGGCTGCCCCAGCCATGTGGAGCTGTAAGTAAAACCTTTCTTTTGTAAATTGCCCAGTCTCAGGTGTGTCTTTATCAGCAGTGTGAAAACGAACTAATTCAGTTACTAGACATTTTTAATTTTAATAATTTAAACTTGAAAGAGACCTGCTATGATAATACTTTGACTTATTTTGCAATTTATCCTTTGGATAAATTACTAGAAGTAGAACTTCTATATCAAAAAGTATGAACAATTTCAAGATTTTGCTATATGTAGCTAAAGTACTTTACAGAGCTTCTTCCAATTTAAATTCCCTTCAGCTAACTTATTGCATCCTATTCAAAATAAATATTGACATTTTAAATTTTATCAAATTGCTAGGAAAAAATAGCACTCTACTATTTTAATGTACATTTGGTTCCAAGGGGTACATATCCCGCATATGTTATCGATGGGTTTTTGTTTCTTTCTTGTGAATTGACTGAATTCAGTACATTCTTCCAACAGTTATTAATTGTGATTGATCTTATTTACTACAAATATTTACCCACATTGTTTACTTTTTAATTTTGTCTATGGTGTCTTTAGGAGCACAATATACCAACAAAACTAGAATTAGAGAAATTTTATTGCTGCCATTAATTGCTTTTTATTTATTTATTCTTAAACAGAAAACATTTAAATGATTAAAGGACATCCTTGTGACTAAGAGTAAATACATCAACAAATTCCTCGATTAGAGTTTATGAGTTTTAAAACTTGTCATTAAAAGTTGAAAAAAAGGATGACATTATAGCTTTGCTATAATAAGATGCTGCTTTTAGAATGTAAAATATGGTTACTCACTTGAAAAATAAACTCAAGTGAATACATTTATTTATTTATTTTGTCATTTAGTCATCCAGGCAAATCCTAAATGGTGAAGTTGCAATAATATTATTGGTATGGAGTTGGCATACATCTTTTAGCTGTCTGCGTGATTTTCTGAAAGATAATGTTTGTTTTCTTTTTTTCTTTCTTTAGCTTCTTGGGTACATGTGCAGATCATGCAAGATTGTTGCATAGGTACATTCATGGCAAGGTGGTTTGCTGCCTCCATCCCCCCATCACCTATACCTGACATTTCTCCCCACCTTATCCCTCTCCACTCTCCCCCCACTGCCCCTCCCCTAGTCCCCCCAAAGGACCCCAGTGTGTGATGCTCCCCCTCTCTGTCCATGTGTTCTCATTGTTCCTCACCTGCCTATGAGCGAGAACATGTGGTGTTTGATTTTTCTGTTCTTGTGTCAGTTTGCTGAGATTGATGGTTTCCAGGTTCATCCATTTCCCTACAAAAGACATAAATTCATTGTTTTTTATGACTGCATAGTATTTTATGGTGTATATGTGCCACATTTTCTTTGTCCAGTCTATCATTAGTGGGCATTTGGGTTGGCTCCAAGTCTTTGATATTGTAAACAGTGCCACGATGAACATATGTGTGCATGTGTCTTTATAATATAATGATTTATAGTCCTTTGGGTATATACCCAGTAATGGAATTGCTGGATCAAATGGAATTTCTATTTCTAGATCCTTGAGGAGCCACCACACTGTCTTCCACAATGGTTGAACTAATTTACACTCTCATCAACAGTGTAAAAGTGTTATTTCTCCACATCCTCTCCAGCACGTGTCTCCAGATTTTTTAATGATCACCATTCTAACTGGTGTGAGATGGTATCTCAGTGTGTTTTGATTTGCATTTCTCTAATGACCAGTGATGATGAGCATTTTTTCATATGTTTATTGGCCTCATATATGTCTTCTTTTGAAAAGTGTCTGTTCATATTCTTCACCCACTTTTGGATGGGTTTGTTTTTTTTTTTCTTGTAAATCTGTTTTAGTTCTTTGTAGATTCTGGATATTAGCCCTTTGTCAGATGGGTAGATTGCAAAAATCTTTTCCCATTCTGTTGGTTGCCAGTTCACTCTAATGGTTGTTTCTTTTGCTGTACAGAAGCACTGAAGTTTAATTAGATCCCATTTGTCTATTTTGGCTTTTGTTGCCATTGCTTTTGGTGTTTTAGTCATGAAGTCCTTGCCTATGCCTATGTTCTGGATGGTTTTGCCTAGGTTTTCTTCTAGGATTTTTATGGTGCTACGTCTTTTGTTTAAGTCTTTAATCCATCTGGAGTTAATTTTAGTGTAAGGTGTTAGGAAGGGGTCCAGTTTCTGCTTTCTTCACATTGCTAGCTAATTTTCCCAAACCATTTATTAAACAGGGGATCCTTTCTCCATTGCTTGTTTTTGTCAGTTTTGTCAAAGATCAGTTGGTTGTAGATGTGTGGTGTTGCTCCGGAGGCCTCTGTTCTGTTCCATTGGTCTATGTCTCTGTTTTGTTAGCAGTACCATGCTGTTTTGATTACTGCTGCCTTGTAGTGTAGTTTGAAGTCTGGCAGTGTGATACCTTCCGCTTTGTTCTTTTTGCTTAGGATTTTCTTCGGTATGGAGGGTCTTTTTTGGTTCCATATGAAGTTTAAAGTGTTTTTTTTTCCAGTTTTGTGAAGAAGGTCATTGGTAGTTTGGTGAGGATAGCATTGAATCTATAAATTACTTTGGGCAGTATGGCCATTTTCATGATATTGATTCTTCCTTACCATGAGCATGGAATGTTTTTCCATCTGTTTGTGTATTCTCTTATTTCCTTGAGAAGTGGTTTGTAGTTCTCCTTGAAGAGGTCAGGGAGGGACATACTAAAAACATTTTTTAAATGAAGTAAAAAATAAAAGAAGAAAACAAAAAAAATTATTGTAGCATTTCATATACAGCTAAATGAAGTGTGATATGTGTGTGTGTGTATATATATATATATATATATATATATATATATATATTTGCCAGTATCCTAAAAGTAAATCTCAGTAGAAATGGAATAACTTTCATTAGAAGGACAAAATATGAGATATAAATTGTATGTGTGTATGTGTGCATGTGTAGTGTTATACAGAGCAAAGTGTATATGTTTTATTATGATTTAAAGGCTGAAGACGTATTTAAAGCATCAACCATGGAAATTAAATGGATTTAAAAAAAGAGAGAGACTGAAAACTAGAAGAGGAATTAAAACAATCACTGAAAGCTACTAAAATTTTAATAAAGCATATTTTTTCATTTTTCATTTTTGTGGTTATAAAGTAGGTGTATATATTTGTGGGGTATGTAAGATGTTTTGATACAGGCATGCAATGTGAAATAATCACATCATGGAAAATGAGGTATTCATCCCCTCAATCCTTTGTGTTACAAGCAATCCAACTACACTCTTTCAGTTATTTTTAAATGTACAAATAAGTTATTATTGACTGTAGTCACCCTCTTGTACAATCAAATAGTATGCCTTATTCATTCTTTCTATTTTTTTGTATCCATTCACAACACCCACCTTCTCCCCTCCCCCAACTCTTCACAGCCTCTGGTAACCATCCTTCTACTTTCTTTGTCCATGAGTTCAATTGTTTTGATTTTTAAATCCTACAAATAAGTAAGAACATGTGGTATTTGTCTTTCTGTGGTTGCCTGATTTCACTTAACATAAGGATCTCCAGTTCCATCCATGTTGTTGTAAATGATTGAATGTCATTCTTTTTTATGGCTGAATAGTACTCCATTTTGTGTATGTACCACATTTTCTACATCCATTCACCTGTTGATAAACACTTAGGTTGCTTCCAATTCTTAGCTGTCGTGAACGAAGCTACAACAAACAAGGGAGTGTAGATATCTCTGCATTATACTGATTTACTTTTTGTTGGGTATGTACTCAGCAGTGGGATTGCTGGGTCATATGTTGTCTATTTTTAGTTTTGTGAGAAAGCTTCAAACTGTTCTCCACAGTGGTTATACTAATATTTCCACCAGCAGTATATAGGGTTTTGTTTTAAGATTTGTAGAAATCAAAATATTTATTCATATAACTTTAAACTAAAGTTGAAGCTAATAAATCTTCCATGGTAATGATTTAAGTGCAAGTGATGCTTGGCTTTCTTTCACATTCATTTCTTTTCTTCAGAGTGAAGGCATATCAGTTATTCTTGAACAAGTCAATACAACTCTGCAAAAGAGAGACATTGTTCCTAGCATGTTTGATTTCCAGTTCAGACATTTCAATTAGATTCTTTCTAAATGCTGCCACTCTCTTTGATTTGAAATTTATCAGTTCCTTCTTTTGCAGATCCAGAAAGTTGTTCAAATTTCCGGCAGCACTTCTGCTGGTGTGCCTCAGCCATCTTGATGTCTTTGCTCTTTAACCAGGCCTTATTCAGAGCTTTGTTTGAGTTCTCATAGTCCATGAGGGCTTTGGTGTATCTGTATAAGAGATCCTTAGCAGCTTTGATGTTGAGCATGTAGTATTGGAGGAACTCTGTTAGCTTTAAATCTTCATCTGATGAGACTCGACCCTCTACTTTCCTGTTTTTCAAATAGCTCAGCAACCTTCAATAGGTACTTTTTGATGACTGTGGGCTCTTCTAAAGCCAGGCTATGTAAGCAGGCTGCAGTGTGGATATAGTCATTGGCAACATTTTTATGAAATCTGGTCATTATGTCAGCTTTCACACAAGAATCTTTGATTCTATTGTAATAGTTAATAAGGAAGTTCTTCTCTTGCTCAAAGAAGTCATCTACCTCCTTAACTCCAGTAAAAAGGACTTCTTCAGCACTTTTCACCATACTTTTGAAGAAGCCACCAAACATCTCTTTAGTATTTTTCCACCTAACACTTAGATCCTGATCATATTCCAGGAAAACATGAAAGTTGCAATCTTTACTGAGAACTGAAGAAAGAAAGCCACTGAAGAAAGACTTCATGGGAGGATATAGACTTCTTAAAAACAGCAAGATACTGAGCTTCCAGTTCTTGTTTCATCTTGGCAAATTTTTCTTTGATCATAGACCCTTTCCCTTCTCCCAGTTTCTGCATCTTCTCTCGAGGACCATCGAAGTCAGGCTTCGTAGGAGCAGGTGGAATAATAAGCCTAATGTAGTCTGTTCTTTCAGTAAGAGTGTCACATAGCCACACAAAGTCTTCATATTGCCTTGTAACAGAAAACTCTGGGCTCTGAAACATGGGCAATGTGGCCTTTGTGCGCACTGTAAATTTGACCTTATCTCTCTCACTGAGTGCATCAGGAATATCAGTCTAAAGCAAGGGATCAACATTGAGGTCCACAGATACAAAATACACAGATACAAAAGATTTCCTTTTCTTCACGTCCTCACCAGCGTTTGTTATTGCCTGTAATTTGGATATAAGCCATTTTAACTGGAGTGAGATGATATCTCATTGCAGTTTTGATTTGTATTTCTCTGATGATAATGATGTTGAGGACCTTTTCAATATGCTTGTTTGCCATTTGTAAGTCTTCTTTTGAGAATTGTCTATTGAAATATTTTGCCTATATTTTGATCAGTTTACAATATTTTTTTACCTGTAGAGCTGCTTGAGCTCCTTATATATTGGGAACTAGAGCAAAGATCACTTTTGCTATTTTGGAATATACAATAAATTATTGTTAACAATAAAGAAATGGGTGCTTCTTTATACCAGTGTGAGTGGACTATACAACTAGATAATCTCAATTAAACTATCTTTTAGTTTGCTATTTCTTTATTCTGTCAGCTCAACTCTTCTGTTGGGAACCACTAGTAGATTTTCATTTCTGTTATTTTACTTTTCAACTCAAGAATTTTTGCTTTTTAAAAAATAATTTCCATTTGTTATTGATTTTTTGTATTATGACATTATTCTCACACATATCTTTAATTCTTTAGACATGGTTTTTATTAGTGCTTAAAACATATGTGTATGTGAGCGTACACTCACACAGATATATATTTAGCTCATTAAAAGTCTTTGTCTAATAAACCAACATCTGAGCTTCGTCAGGCACAGCTTCTAGTGAATGTATTTTTGTTTACAAAAATACATTCTTTGCCCTTCTTTTCTCTTTCTTTGTATGTCTCATTAATTTTGTGGAAAACTAGATATTTTAAATTGCATAATATGAAAAATATTGATATTGGAATTCATCACTTTCTATATTTTTTTTGTTGTTGTGTTGCAGCACAGTGTGTGTCAGCATTTGACTTTAAGGTTTCATTGATTAAGAGCTCTACCTTAGTACTCACATCCTGCTTTGTAGAGTCTCACCGTCAGCCAGAGGTGAGAGATAATGGCCTTTTCATACTGTTCCTGGACAAGCCTATTGCCCAGCACATGTGCACAGCCTTCTAGATCTCTAGATGTATGTCTTCCTAAGAACATTTTATTCCCCGTATTCCTTAAAGACATAGAGCTTTAAGACCTAAAGTTTTTGGTTAGTTCCTCTTTGTTGTTCCAACAGCTATTGCTGCCCTAATTGGCTGTGATAAACTGTTATCACTGATTTATCACTGATTGTTTTTGACAAATGTCTTGGGTATAGAGCTTATACCACTGCCACTGAGTGAATGCTGAGTTACATAAACAAAGACAAGCTCTGTAAATGAGAGTTCCCTAGGGAGGTGCCAGACATGCCGAACAGTAAAAATATTTGTATGTGAATCTTAGGGGAAAGCTCTAGTGCCCCCTCCAGTAGCTGCAAGATGGTTGAATTTTACAGGTACTGTTGTTGCAAGACTAATGAATTTCAAGGACAATGTGAAGCTGTGGCAAAGGGAATGGAAGTAGAGAAGATTAAAATGACACAAAACTGGCTGTAATTATGAAGAGTCAGCTATTTTTCTTCAAAAAATGCTCATTGCAATGTTACAAGCCTTTGGCTAATTTCTAGAGTTTTTAAAAAGTTGATTTTAACCATATGTTTGTAAGTGTTCTGTGTGCTTATGGTGGAGTTGACTTATTTTGTTATTCCATAACTCTTGTGTGATGGTCTTTTAACTGGAATTCCAACTTATTACTCTTTTCCTCTCACAATCCATTCTTTATAGTGAAGCCTAAGAGAGCTAGTAAAAGTGTAAATCAGATCAGATCACTCCTCTGACAAAAAACTTTTGAATTGGTATTTCTTAATATTTAGAATAAAGTTTAAGTTTCTGATTATGGTCTACAAACCATTTTGGCTTAAGAGACTTTATATAAGTGAGGTTCAAAAACAGCAACAAGGTAGTGAAAAGAGCGTGGGGAATTACTTTGAAGCTGATATTTATACCACATTGCATTTTAGGGGGAGGTGGAGTGTTGTTTTTGTTTGCTTCTGCAATTGTAGTAATACAAGTCTCTTATCTGTTGTGTTCTCTTGGCTCCTAACTGGACATTTATTGCATCATCTTTTTCCCCTTAGAAACTACAATTTTCTGATTTCTGAAAACATATTCTTCCCTATTACATTATTCTCCTTTTATTATTAGGTATCTTTTTACTTTCCATCTGAATTTTAATCTATTGTTGTAGACGAGGAGCTGTGCAACTCCAATCCGTCTTCAAGGAGGGAATTATTGCCCAACTCTGAATGTGGTAGCCAGCAAAGGAGTTTGTACATTCAGTTCCTTTGGGCTAGGCTCAGTTGCAGGGAGGAAATATCACTGAGGTTTTACATTCACAACCCATGGTAGTCATTTACCCTGAAATATATATTAATTTACCCTGACTATATAATTGAGATTTAGATACTTCTAAGTTGGCACTGTTGCATTTTTGGTCCTTGGTGTGCAAGTCCATGGTCTAATGAAAGCCTCTGAATATGCCCTCTCTGCCTTAGCCAAGGTAATAAATTTTAAAAAAATAGTGCATAATGAAAAACTGGGCATAGATGGAGAGCATAGAGTTACTACTAAGAATCTAAAAGATGAAAGGATGGGGATTTTCATCACATCTGCTATGAATTTACCAGTTGGGGCCACTGCAGAAACTAGACGTATCCTGTAGAATGACTGTGAATTACAGCAAGCTCAAGTAAATAGTAGCTCTAATTACAACTACCATGACAAAGACAGTATCTTTGCTAGAACGATTAATATGGTCTCAGGTATATAGTTATTCTCCAGGACTATGTTAACTCCCTTATCACAATGTAGTCTAAAGAGATACGGACAATTTTTTTAATGTCCTGAAGAACATTACATCAATTCATTGCACCAATAATAGGTAGATCTGGCTGGATGAGCAATATCTGGCTAGCCTTGCTGCAGGCTCAGTAAGACAAATTTGCTCTAGTGAGTAGGAAATAAACTCTAAAAAGATTTCAGGGCTAGAACCATTTGAGGAAAATTTTAGAGGTTTAGTGGCCAGGGCTTGCCGGTAAATCCTCGTCCAAAGTAAAAGATAAACAATTACATATTTCCTCTTCTACCATGACTAAGAAAGCACAGTGCATTGTGGGCTACTTTGTGCTCTGGAGACAGCATGCTTAACACTTAGGAATACCACTTTGCCCGTATGCTTCTTTGAGTATGGATGGAGCAGGAAAGAGCTCTGAGCAGACTGAGGCTGTGATATAAGCCATACTTCTTTTTGTACTATGCAATCTGTTGGAACCTACATGTTAGAGGTATCAGTGTTAAGAAATGGGACCATGTTGATTTTGTATGAAGCACAATAGAGGTTCCTGGGATTCTGGAGAAATGCCATAAAACCAGGGAATGTTATGCCTTTTAAAAAATAACTCTTGGCAAGCTACCAGTCCTGACCATGGGACTGCAAGTGACCATGTGGGTAGAACTATCATGAGTTAGGTCTTTTAAGTGTTACTAAGTCATAAAGTCAGATAATACCAACAGTAACCTCATTGTAAGATGGAAGTGTGGTATCCAGGATTGAGCACAAACAGGTTCTGAGAACAAAAGAAATTTGCATAAACAGGTAGTTCAGGTCTATGGCTCCCACTAGTAGTAGTACAAGCATTTCTCTCTTAGCCCATTTCTGTGGCTATATGATATGCTGTAGGACCAATAGAAAAGAAAATGAAAAATTTCTGAGTTTGGCTTCTAGATGCGTTAGCTTGGTATGTAAGTGTAGGCCAAATATGGACACCAGCTACACTATAACTGTACTCAAGGATGCCTTGAAAAACTGGTACAGAAAAATATTTCCAATTGGGAGAGTGATTGTGATGCATTCAGGCATTGACATAGTGTGAAAAGAGAAGTGACCCAAGGTTAGAATCCACACACACACTCATGGGAAAAGAATGGAAGATCATAGACAAGAAGATCTGGGATAAAGGTATGTGGTTGAACATATGAGAATAAAGAAGTTTGAGGATCTTTGTATTCCACATAATAACCACCAGCAAATATTGACCATTGAGGAGGCACTAAACAACCAAGTAGACAAAAGGGTCCAGCCAGTTGTCATTAGCCAGACTCTTTCAACAACTACTCCAATGCTGGCAAAATTGGTTCATGGATGAAGAGGCCACAGTGGCCACTTCATAGTAGATATAGAAACTGTGCCTAGGCCCAAAATTGTGAACTCCCACTTATAACACCTGATCTGTCTTAGCCTATGAATGTCCTACCTACTAGCAGCAGAATTCTGAAACCCCAAAAAGAACCACTTCTTCAGGAGACCAACCTGCCATTTGACATAAAGTTGATTGTATCAGGGCCCTCTGTTCCACAATAGCAGGTTTTTTCTACACAGACGTGTATTGTGATTATTGGTTTTCTTTTCTTGTCAACAGAATTTTGATCAGCACATTATCCAGAGACTTAGAGAGTACTTTATCCATTGCCTTGTGGTCCTACATAAAATTGTGTTAGACCAGATAAACTATTTCACAGCAAAGGAGGCGTGGAAATGGGCCCATTACTGTGAGAGCTATTGCTAATATTAAATGCCGTGTTGCTCCAAGTTGCTGTCCCGAGAGAGCATTGAAACAGCCTGTTGGAGGTATAGCTGGTGTGCTAACTTGGCAGCAATATTCTGCAAGAAGAGTTGCTATAGTTTAGGTTGCGTTGTACACATTTACATAAATATCTATATGTAGCGCATGTCTTCTATGGAAGGAATATATGAAACCAGAAACCAAGTTGTAGAAAGAAGAATGGTACCTCATACCATTAATTTCAGAGACCGATGAGGAATTTGCATATCTTGTTTTTACAACTCTGGGTTCTGCATTGCTGCAAGTACTAATTACCAAAGGGGGAACGTTTTCACCAGTGGTACAAAAATAGTACCATTTAATTATTAGCTGTGACTACTGCCTGGGCAGTTTGAGCTCTGTTTCTC